TAAATGTGGGTTTTTTAAAGAATATTTTTTTTCAAGGACCCAAAGACCAATAAACGTGGAATTTTTAAAGAATATTTTTTTCAAGGACCCAAAGACCAATAAACATGGATTTTTTAAAGAATATTTTTTTAAGGACCCAAAGACCAATAAACGTGGATTTTTTAAAGAATATTTTTTTAAGGACCCAAAGACCAATAAACGTGGAGTTTTTAAAGAATATTTTTTCAAGGACTCAAAGACCAATAAACGTGGATTTTTGAAAGAATATTTTTCAAGGACCCAAAGTCCAATAAACGTGGATTTTTTAAAGAATATTTTTTCAAGGACCCAAAGACCAATAAACGTGGAATTTTTAAAGAATATTTTTTCAAGGGCCAACAATAAACGTGGATTTTTTAAAGAATATTTTTTCAAGCACCCAAAGACCAATAAACGTGGATTTTTTAAAGAATATTTTTTCAAGGACCAACAAATAACCTTGAATTTTTTAAAGAATATTTTTTCAAGGACCAACAATAAACGTGGATTTTTTAAAGAATATTTTTTAAGGACCCAAAGACCAATAATCTTGGATTTTTTAAAGAATATTTTTTTCATGGGCCAACAAATAACCTTGAATTTTTTAAAGAATTTTTTTTCAAGGACCAACAATAAACGTGGATTTTTTAAAGAATATTTTTTCAAGGACCCAAAGACCAATAAGCTTGGATTTTTTAAAGAATATTTTTTTCATGGGCCAACAAATAACCTTGAATTTTTTAAAGAATTTTTTTTCAAGGACCAACAATAAACTTGGATTTTTTAAAGAATATTTTTTCAAGGACCCAAAGACCAATAAGCTTGGATTTTTTAAAGAATATTTTTTCAAGGACCCAAAGACCAATAAACTTGGATTTTTTAAAGAATATTTTTTTCATGGGCCAACAAATAACCTTGAATTTTTTAAAGAATTTTTTTTCAAGGACCAACAATAAACGTGTATTTTTTAAAGAATATTTTTTTCAAGGACCAACAATAAACTTGGATTTTTTAAAGAATATTTTTTCAAGGAACCAAAGACCAATAAACGAGGATTTTTTAAAGAATTTTTTTTAAGGGACCAAAAAGACCAATAAACGTGGATTTTTTAAAGAATATTTTTTTCAAGGACCAACAATAAACTTGAATTTTTTAAAGAACATATTTTTTCAAGGACCAACAACAAACTTGGATTTTTAAAAGAATATTTTTTTCAAGGACCAACAATAAACGTGGATTTTTTAAAGAATATTTTTCAATCACCTTTAGACCAATAATTTGCTTTCTTATTCAATTATCAATTAATTGTCTTCAATTATTTTTGGTAATTTCATTCTTTTCGTACTCCTTGCCATCCCAATGTCCAAACTGATTCTCCTCTCCACAAAGAAAAAAAATCAAAAACTTCTATTCTCAACAATTTATTATTATTGATTATAAAGATAAGCGACAGATTTTTCAATTATTTTCTTGATGATGTTCTATCTTCCTCTTTGTTTTTCTTTTTCAATTTTTTCAACATTTCCGCTCTTGGACAAACTTCGAAAAGAGAAAAAAAGACATACCATATAAAGTGGCAATACATTGGCCTTTAACACACATTCCTTCATATGGCATATTTGCCTTCGTCTAGGCGATTTATTATCCAGTTTTCTCCCAAAAAAAAGTTTTTCTGTTGTTCCTTCTTTTTCACTTCTGGGGTCTGGTGTTAAAACTGTGGATTTTCCAAGGCTTTATTGGAAGAGCAACATTTTGGGGAAGACAGTGGTTAAGGGGGAGATAAAATCCGTTTTAAAAATCTGCGGTGCTTGTTTGGTTGGTTCCAGAAAATTATTCATAAAAATCCATTTTTATTGAGTTAAGAAAAATTATTCTTTAAAATTTTGAGAAAAATGCTCTTAAAAACCTTCATAAATTGGTTTTAGGAAAAATTATTCTTAAAATAAGTTTAAAGAAAAATATTCATAAAAATCATTGATTGGCCCATTGATCTAAGAAATGACATTATTAAAAAAATCACGCTGATGACACTTAGGACCATATTCTTAAAAAATGTTCTTAAAATTTCACACTGAACTTAGGAAAAGTATTTTTAACAAATAAACGTTGCTGAAACTTAAGAAATATATTCATAAGGAAAAATATTCCTAAAAAAGAGATTTTAGGAAAAATAATTTTAAAACCCGTTATATTATTATTGGTTACCCATAGGGAAAAAATTCTTAAATTGTCAAACAGATTGACCTTAGAAACCAACGTTGTTTACTCATAGGGAAACTATTCTAAAATTTTCAAACAGATTGGCCTTAAATTAGTTTTAAAATTACTAAAATGACCTAAAACGACTGGCGTTGGGGAACATATTCCTAGATATCCAAGAAAAACATTCCTAAAATGAATGATTTTAGGAAAAATATTCGTAAAATAATTATTCGTAGGAAAAATATTTCAAAAAAGTTGGTGAAGGTGAAGGGAAACTGTGCTTAAAACGGTTGGTCTTAGAAAAAATATTTATTACAAATTCTTGTCAGAAAGAATATTATTTAGCAAATTGGAAAGCATTCTTAAAACCACACATTAAGAAAAATATTCTTAAAATGATGGTTCATAGGAACAATATTCTTGAAATAGTTGCCTTCAAGAAAAATATTCTTAGAAAATCTGTGTTGGTTACTCTTGGGAAAAATATTTTTAAACTGATTGTTCTTAGGAAAAATATCCTTAAAAAATAATATTTAGAAAAATATTTTCAAAATTGTTTTAAAAATTAATCTTCAAAAATCCAAGTTTGTTATTCTTAGAAGACTAATAAGAAAATATTCAGAAAAAAATTCTTAAAATGATTTGTGTTAGGAGAAATATTTTTTAGAAAATTCACATTGATTAGGAAAATTTACGTTGATTGATTTTAGGAAAAATATTCTAAAAAAATCCACGTTGATTAGGAAAATTTGCGTTGATTGATTTTAGGAAAAATATTTTTAGAAAATCCACGTTCACTGATTTTAGGAGAAATATTCTTTAAAAATCCATTTTGATTGTTTTTCAAAATCATGAACCCTATGTGGGACAAGTAGCAAATTAATGGTCCGATCTCTACCATTTTTATAACAGATCTTGTGTTGACGCAAATATTGAGATGTGCCAAGTCTGGAATGGAATCGGATGTTGATTTCGATTTTTATGAGCTTCATGGAAAAAGAAATAACCTTCGTTGGTCTTGGGCAAAGTTAACTTCAATAAGTTAAAAAAGCAGTAAGTTCGGCCGGGCCGAACTTTGAATACCCTCCACCATTTGGAACGAATTTGGAAATTTTGAAAAAATAAAATCCTTAAAAAATTCTTTTAAAATTTAAAAAATACCGAATATAGCAGTTATATTGGGGTCTATACGACGTGGATCTAGATAAAAATTTAATTAAAATTTAATTAAATTTAATTAAATTCGAAACTTGAAATAAACGGTGAATAATGTAGCTAAAATCATCAAAATATCGTATATAGGGAAGTACCGTTATATCGGAGCTGTGCGAAGACATGGACCAGCATAGACGATTTTCTGCCACAGGCTAAATCATCCATTACAAACTTCAAATACGACAACTCAAACAATTTCGGTGGGTATTGTACCTTAACTCGTCAAAATACCAAATATAGGGAGGTGCTGATATATGGGGCCTATACGAAGACCTGGACCTGCATAGAAAATTTTCTGTCACAGACTGTAGTTCCCATTACGAACTCTAAATACGTAATTTGAAACAATTCCGGTGAATAATGTCGCTAAAATCATCAAAATACCGAATATCAGGAGGTACCGTTATATGGGGGCTGTACGATGACGTGTACCTGCACAGACAATTTTCTGTCTTAGGCTGTAGTATCTATTTCGAACTTCAAATACCCAATTCCAAACAATTCCGGTAAATAATGTCGTTAAAATAATCAAAATACCGAATATCGGGAGGTACTTATATATGGGGGCTATATGAAAACGTGGACCTACATGGTCCATTTACGAACTTAACCTGCCTACTGAAAAAATAAGCACGTGTGCAAAATTTTAGCCTTCTATCTCAATTCGTTCGAAAGATAGCGTGATTACAACAGACAGACAGATGGACATGGCTAAATCGACTTAGAATTTTACGCTGATCAATATATATATACTTTTTTGGGTCTGACATGAGTATTTCGAGGAGTTACAAACGGAATGACAAAGTTAATATACCCTCCATAGCATCGTGGAGGGTATACAAATTCGCGTTCAATAATTCTAATGAAAATATTCGTAAAAGATCCTGATTCTCTAGTACTAGGAAATGTACTTTGTTCTTCAGGATTATATTCATAGAATATGGTTTTAGGAACAATTTTTCTAAAAATCTTGAATATATTCTCTCTTCTACCACTGTCTCCAGCTCAAGTCCATTTCACTAAACCTGAAGATGGCAGTAGGAAGACTCCTAACGAAAAAACGAATCCAACAAACAAAACCAGCTAAACAACAAAATCCCAAAACAAAAAATTGCAACAGCAACAACAACAGAATATGATAAATCGCCATCAGTGATTGTGGCGATAAATTATTTTTCGATCGATTGTATGAAACGATAAAACAAAAAGCCGCCTATGGGCAATACTTGAGACAGGCTTTGGGTTTGATTTTCCACAGCCAGAATTCATTTGGTGTTGGCTGGACGAACAGACAGAGGAGATACAGAGACTTCCTTCATTCTGGTCCATGGTAGGAAGGCAACTCTTTGCCACTGCATTGCCTACATAGCTGGGCAAATTGAAAAGTGAAATTTCAACTCCTTGCCAATGTCCACTGGTCAAGTTTGGCGAAGGCAAAAAAAAAAACAATCTTCTCATTTATCACAAAATTGTAAAGTCTCATAGATTAGCCAGAATACCAGGAAGCATAAAAACATATTTATTCTCTTAGAAATAAAATTGGGTGTTGGCTAACGCCCACTTACCTATCGATCCATCCAGTGAATAGGCATTACGCTGCCATGCCCATGTGCATAGATCACAGGTTGTCAAACCATCGGCGGCCACACTCTCATCGAGGAAGGGCGGTCTTGGCGGTGGTGGGACAAAACGTCCATTCCACAAGCCATTCTCGCTGGCATCGAAGGCCAACGGCGAATCGAAGGTATCCTCTTCGATGGCATTCGCCCACCAGTCATCGTCGTTGGCAGGTAAAAGATTTGCTGCAGCACCGCCACCACCAGTGACGTCACCCATGAGGCCGCCGCCGCCACCACTGTTGCTGCCAGTAGCTATGGCCTCCACACCACCCGAAGCCGCAGCAGCTGCATCGCCGAATATTGTGCTGGCGGTGGCTAAGAAATCTGTTTGTATCGCTGGATCATAGGGTGACAACAATTGATGATTGCCCGCAAAGGCGGAAGCGGGTTGTTGGGTGGCGCCCGACGCCGCCAGTGATGGCGACGGCGCATGCGCATGGCTGCCATGGGAAGGTGTTAACGGTGATTGTCCATGCGTTTGATAGTTGTGATTGGCAAGGGAGTCTAGGCGGGAATTGGGAAATGCTGAACGCACCGTTGTCGTGGCACCGGCAAAAATATCATCATCCGGTTGCTGCAGCGGCAGCTGCTGCTGTCCAGTTAGGCGGGGAAACATGTTTGACAGGTAGTTGTTTGATATTTCTGTATTTCTTTTGTATGGTTTGTTTTCGTTTATTTTTTTTTTTTGTTTTTGGAGTAAAATCAATATGAAAATCTGTTTGTTTTAAGGCAACTGGAGCTGGTGGTTATGATTTGCATAGAACCTGGAAGAGAAAAGAGAAAATGTTCAGTTATTTAAATAAAAATATTTTTTTTTCTAAAATTGAGACATATTTTTCAGATTTAAAAAATAATAAAAAAATTAGATTTAAATAATTAGCTTCTTAGGGTTCCTATCCGCAAAAGATTTTTCCGAATCTGCCCACGTTTTGGTATATTTCCCAACACAACGTTTCTACCAATATTAAGTTGTTTGAAGATTTTGGTCATATTCTTAAATAACTGGTCCCACTAAAAATGTTCTTAAAGACCAACTTTGATTACTCTGACGAAAAATATTCTTAAAAATCAACCTTCGTCATTTTAAGTCAAAATATTCTTTTTAAAAAAACCTCCGTGGGCTACTCTGAGGAAATGTTGAATTGAAGTAATTTTTTTTTGGAAAATTATTTTTAAAAATCCGCGTAGGTTACTCTCAGACAAAATATGCTTACAATTATTTGTCAAGGGAATTAACTCAAAAAGTATCAGTCAACCCTCCAATAACAGGTTATTTAAATATATTTTGACCTGCGTTATGATAATTGAAACTTTTTACCCTCTATGGGGGGAGGTTCCGAAGAAGTAGGCCAATATTGTCCGAATCTTATCTTACAAAAGTCTGATAAAAATATTATAACTTCCGGGAATACTTCCTTCGCATTATATGAGACCTGCAAGTGCCCGCTACTTCGTCAGCGAAAAGTCCATCTTAAAATTGTAACCAAGTTCCAATAGTTCGTGTTAGGCCTTTTTATACCCTTCACCATAGTATGGAGGGTATATTAAGTTTGTCATTCCATTTGTAAAAAATCGAAATATGCAGGTCACACTTTTTATGCAGGTCACAATTTTTTACATTTTTTTTTTTAATTTATTCAATGAAAGCAAAAATTTCGGAAATAGCATTAATTTTAGAATAAGTATAAGTTTAGATTTGTTCGCCTTCAAACGGCCGCTGAAAGCAGTCACACGCTACCCGAATATTTCTCTGCGGTATTTTGATCCATTCCCGGCGAAGTGCTTGCTAGAGATGATCGACAATTTGGTATTTTTTAGGTGCCAACCTTGCTTTCCAAAATTCTCCAGACACAATAGTCCAACGGATTGGTATCCGGAGATTTTGGTGGTCATTGTGCGCTGGAAATGAAACGAGGAACCTCATTTTGTAACCATTCTAGCGCGCTAGGTAGCGCGTTCTGAGGGTGATAGTGCTGAGTCCTATTGGAATGTCCAAGGTCTGCAGCCAAAATGTTTGCGTGTCCAAGTCATTAATACATCCTCCAGAATATTTTCGCAATAATGTTCGGCATTTATTTATTATCTATTAATACGATCGGAGAGCGACTATCGGAAATCATCGAATGTCCAAGGTCTGCGGCCAAAATGCCCAAGGCTTTAATACACCCTTTAGAATATTTTCGCGATAATATTCGGCATTTATTCTGATGCCACGGTCGATTTATACAAGCGGAGAGCGACCATCGGCTGTTATGGAGACTCACACTATCACATCACCATGGCCGGCGCTTGAGTTCTGGTGGCCAACTGAGGGTGCACATTTTCAGCTGACCTCTTCGGACAGAATACACGATCATTTTGTTTGTTTACAAACTGCTGAATAACAAATGTTTTCTCATCGGAGAAAACCAAATTCGGCATTCGAAGCAACTCCTTAGCTCTTTTGAGTCTATTTTATTTCTGTTGCGATGTAAGTTCTTGCACTTTTTCGAATTTCAATGGCTTTACCCCGAGCTCTTTTTTTTATATTTGCCGAATGGAATATTGCGCGCCACGCTACCAGTATCACGTAATCGGGAACGAGCGATGGTACGAGACACCGATTACGAGATTTATTCACATTTAAATGCTGGAGTGCTCTAACGATAGCCACTTGGTTGGTGGTTTTCCAGCCAAATATGAAGAAATCACACTATCACGCTTGAATTCCGAACCACGAATAACTTCTTTTCTGGAAAATTCTCACCAAAATGCTTTTCTACGCTTGTAAACAATATAATGGGCTGTCACTGGAATAATTTTAACAGTTGTCGGACGAGTGGCTTAGAAATTACAGAATTCTGAAGTTGGTTGCAGTTTTTTCATATCACCCTGTATAAAAATCTGAACCGATTTTCACACAATTTAGCAACGGTATTTCTGGGCTGTGTCTGCTACCAAATATCATTCTTGTGGGGTGCATATTACGCATGTGAGGGACCTGTAGCATTAAATCGGATGATATCAAATAGTGGTAGGGGTATTATGACTGTGCATTTTTTGTAACATGGAGAAGGAAGCGAGATAGGCCCATAACAATATTAGTCCAAATAATCTAATTTTTGGCAAATCCGACCGAATTCGGTATAGAAGTAGTCATCAATTTTGGTGAAAATCAGTTCCATGTATTTAATTGTTAATATACTGCTTCTATACCGAATTCGGTCGGATTTGCCAAAATTAGGCTATTTGGACTAATATTGCTTCCTTCTCCATATTTTAAAAAAATGCACAAACACATAATACCCCTATAGGGTATCAAATACTAATGCGGTACTAGGTACTAGGGTATAAAAATACTAATGCGGTTCAAAGGTATATATATTTTTGGACAGATACCCCACGATATTCAGTATTCTGATGATTTTAGCGACATTATTTACCGGAATTGTTTCAAATTTTGTATTTGAAGTTCGTCATAGATACTATAGCATAAAACAGAAAATGGGCCATGTACGTCAACTTCTTCGTGTAGCCTCTATATAACGGTACCCCCCGATATTCGGTATTCTGATGATTTTAGCGACTTTATTTACCGGAATTGTTTCAAATTTCGCAATTGAAGTTCGTAGTGGATACTACAGCCTGTGACAAAAAAATGTCTGTGCAGGTCCACGTTTTACAACTCCCACGGATTCTTTTTAACGGATTTTATTTTTTTGAAAATTGCCAAATTTGTACCAAATGGTGGAGGGTATTCAAGGTTCGGCCCGGTTTTTACTGGTTTTACATCATCGTATATCACCATTGCTATAGTGAAGATTATAGACTGAATAACTTTTTTCTTGGTCGGTAGTATAATCCATATACTGCCCTTTCCACCCCCAATCCCATGTCCTTGATGTTAGATTGTTAATTTTTAATAGAAACATTTTACGCTCTTTGAAAAACAAAAGAACAAAAACTAAGCTGAATTATATCAAGTGGTAGTAATGCAGGGGACCTAAATGTTAGTATAACTTATGGCCTCTCCTTGACCTCCTCTAACGCTCCATCCCTCCTAAAGTAAAGGCAGTTAAATAAAGTTTTCAATAATTTCAAAACATTTCATTTTTGAGTGGCTGTTCTCAAAGTAACTTTTATGCAGTTTTACTCAGGGCCATACCTATACAGGTGGAACTAGGCATACTCTCCCCCCCCCCCCCTCGCTGTCCCTTGATTCGGCCACCTTGGTCATTCATACAAATATTACAGTAATATGTAATAGTAGTGCAGAGTATGAGGGGAGGTTTTTTGTTTTTGTTTTCGATTTTTTTTTTGTGTTTTTTTTTTTTTTTTTTTTTTTGAAAAAGTTTCAATTTTGTTTCCATTGAAGTGGCTGACGCATGGTTTTGATCACGATTTTTCATAAGTCGTAGTTTTGGTTTTGTTATTTTAGTTTTGGTTTAAGCCTTGAGTTGGAGAGTTCCACCTCACGCCGTAGTATGAGGCCTGAGTTTGGATTGAAGGAACTGCCATGGTAATACTTGCCAGGGATCAATTGTTGGTGGGATATTCTTGTGTGTGAATGTTTGTTTGATTTCTGATGCTGCAATTTTGTATTTTTTTACCGCGGCCAAGGCGGCGCAGGCGCTCATTTTACTGCGCCATAGCTGTTACTGTTAATATTTAAAAATTGTTTTGTTTTTGGTTTCCACATGCCCACGTTAATGTTAATGTGGCACTTGAAGAAGTGGTACCACTCTTGTTGCCGTCAACATCGTCATCATCAGCAACATCGTCATTTTGCGGTGGTGGTGGTGGTGGTCGGACAGCCGGGTAGTGGCAATTGCCGACATTTCCAGGCATTTTAAATAAAACGTTTCAATTCGTTTTCTCCTGCACTTGGCTGTTGTTGCCGATCTGGCCTAGCCAAATGGCTGACAGTCTGACTGGCTGGGCGGCCAGCTAGCTTTTGCTTTTTGTGGTGGTACTTTATGGCCTCTTCATGGTTTGGGGGGTAATGTTTTTATCTCCTCGGCACTGGCACTGTATGCCATTTGGGTGGTCCATGGAGAACTATGAATGTGTTTTTTTGTGAAGGGGGGATCACAACACAAACGATGTATGAACCCCGAGACAGACAGACGGACACACCACCAGTCCTTCAGAATGTTTTAGGAAACAGTTACCACTCACTTTAAATTTATTACAATTATCATAATCGAATCGTTTCATTATTTTTCCAGCGTTTTTTCTTCGTTTAGTGAGTGGGTGTTTGCTTTTGTTCGCTGGGTAGGTGGCAGTCAGGTTCTCTCTGGCCTGGGAGCTGCAGTGATTTGGCGTTTATTTGATTGCTGGCCCATTTTTAAGTTGTCGAAATTGGAGCAGGTTGCAAATGACATTTGAAGTTGGTGGTATTGACGTTTATTGTTGTATATTTTCAAATCCTGAATTTAATTTTTTTTAAAGTTCTTTAAGTTCCTTCGGTGTATTTTAAAAATCACCAGAGAGACACCAATTTATGAATGAAATTTTAATTTTTTGGGATTTAAGTGTACTTTTGGACCAAATCCGTTTCAGGATATTTGGGGTGCCAGAACTCCTTTGGGTTAATGATCTATAACCGAATACTTTCGAGTCTACTCGAAAAAAGTCCGAGCAAAAATTGGTCAACAAAATTAAGGGGAGTTTTTTTTTTTTTTTTGTGAACATTGATGCAATTTTTTTTGATTTGCAGTGGAAATACTGATTACATTTAAATTTGATGTAGAA